TRRMTKTSCYCTSWCWYCCCCCCCCCCCCCCCCCCCCCCCCCCCCCCCCCCCCCCTTCCACCYTGCTAGTGCTAGGGGGTGTAATCGMTMATCTCAGCYTGAACTTGWYGTYAGGMGGWCAARMCACTACTGCTATGCCTCTCTTCCCCTCTAACAACCATGCCTAACTCACGGATGAAATCCATGTCCAATCGGTACCCCAACAGGGGCCTTCTTGATGCAGCGCCCATCAAGGCAGTGCGAACCGGGAAATCGTCTTATCGGTTCCCTCCTCCTCCCGCCTCCTTCCTCCTCCTCAAGTTCTACCAACACCTTATCTCAGCTCAATGGCCCCAGCTGGGATGCTTTCTTCCCTCCATAGCTGGATTACCCCCTCTTCTCTCCTCCTTCCTCCATACCGATGGAGGTCTTCTTCATCACCCTCTTGCTCCTAGAGGTCTTTTATCACCCTCTTGCTCCCAGAGGTCTTCTTCATCACCCTCTTGCTCCTAGAGGTATTCTTCACCACCCTCATGCTCTGCTGGACTCTCCCTCTGGGAGGAGTGGCAGCACGACTGCCGGGTCAATCTCAGGGGTCTCTAGTGAATGATATACTCTTTGCCGGGCTCTTCCTTCCCTTACCTGGGTGCTGTTAAACCAGGTGAAGTGCTCCCTTTGCCAAAGCTTCCCTCCTCTTTTGCAGTAACATACAGACTATAATGCAACCTCGTCGCCCGTACCTGGACTGATATCAGTCTGAATTTGCTCTTGAACGGTCATGGTATCTGGGCTGATATCAGTCTGAATTTGTTCTTGTATGGTCATCACACCTACCTGCTAGCCTACTGTACCTAAGACCTTCAGGACTTGCTGGGAAATGAATATTTGCTGGATTTTATTATTATTATAATATTATTATTATTTTTTAAGAAGAAGGTGACAGTGATGGTCACCGAATCCTGGTTTTAGTGTTTTGCTTTAGGTATCAAGAACAATAAGTGGATAACTTGGCAAGTTTTTCATGAAATTTATATTTTATTACTACTCTTAGTCTCTTTTTAATTTTTTAGCATTTTAGTATTTCACTATTTTTATTCATTTCTTTTTGGTGCATAGGATTTTTGGCCACTGCTCTCATCCTTACTATTATCTTTACTGTTATCTTTACTGTTGTCTTTACTGTTATCTTTACTGTTATGCTGGAAAACATGGGCTGGAAACCTGATTGCTTCAGGCGGTGAGTCAGTCCCTTGGTTGTCAGGTGTGTCTAACTCCATAGAGGCCTAGGTAAGGGTCTGAGAAACTCGACTCAGAACGTGTAGGCCTTCTGAACCAGCTAGCCTGGAATCAGGTACCCCAGGCCTGTTAATATCCAAAGTCAAACCTGGGCCGACCTAGAGTCAAAGAATTTTCCATTTGCCACAGACCGCATACATATCCATCGTTTCTGGACTAGTCCAGGCCCTACTGGGTGGAGCGGCCACTCAGCCAGCCACTGGCGGCTGGTGCCAAGTCAGTACAATATATGTTCTCTCTTAGTCTCAACATCATGGTCAAATCAATGTGGAAAAGAAGTCGCCCATCTGCCTTCTGTGTTTTCGTTCATTGATGGCCGGGTGTCAGGCTGTATATGTTTCGCTTTGGGGTGGAAAAAACAAATGAAGGACTCCATGTGGATCATCGACATGTATTTGAAGTTCGGATTTTTGCTGTGCCTTCTCTTAAAGCTATGTAGATAATCAATTCCTCCCCTCTCTCTCTCCATCTCCTTCCCTCTCCCTCCCTCTCCCTCCCTCTCCCTCCCTCTCCCTCTCCCTCTATCTCTCCCTTGAGCTGCTCTCTATCTCTCTGTCTCTGTACCTTTATCCGTTTCAGTTTACTTGCTTGCTCTCGCTGCCTGTGTGTGTTTGTGTTTCCACACTTCCTCTCTCTGACTCTGGCTGACCGCTGATGGCCTGAACCGTTGTGTTTTTTTAACCCTTGTTGGCCTGGGTGGAAGTGACCAGGGTGGGAACAGAGCATTTCCATATGTGTGTATCCCTCTCTATTCTCTCTCCAGTGAGCTGCTCTCTCTCTCTCTCTCTCTCTCTCTCTCTCTCTCTCTCTCTCTCTNTCTCTCTCTCTCTCTCTCTCTCTCTCTCTCTCTCTCTCTCTCTCTCTCTCTCTCTCTCTCTGTCCCTTTATCCGTTTCAGTTTACTTGCTTTCTCTCTCTGCCTGTGTGTGTTTGTGTTTCCACACTTCCTCTCTTTGACTCTGGCTGACCGCTGATGGCCTGAACCATTGTGGGGTTTTTAACCCTTGTTGGCCTGGGTGGAAGTGAACAGGGTGTGAACAGAGCATTTCCGTATGTGGAGGCTGATGATGTTGAAGCTGTAATTGAAGAACACACCCCTTCACTGTTTAAAATGGTATGTGTGCAGATGCCTGGTACCTTGTGGATTTTTGTCAGACCCGTCTGGTGCTCTATTTACTCTTAGAAAGCAAGAGTCTGCCCACAATTTTTGCTAAAATTAGTGTTTTTGTGTGAACATGAGCTTAGCGCGAGTGGGGCGTGCTCCTCAGCTTGGTGACCATTTGTTCCCCCCCCGCCCCCCCCCCCTCCCCCTCCTCTGAAAGATGAGTGCAAGGGGTTGACAACAGCCACATGTTTTCTTTTTCTTTTCCTTTTTTTGCCCTGTAAGAGGCAAATGGTTTAAGAAATAAACCGAGTTTATGTGACACTCAAGCTAATTGATGGCTTAAACCACTAGTACCTTTGAATGTTGGGAACATAGGGAGCCTAGGGTGGAGCTCCAATCTTATAGGAGGCCGAAATGGAACGACGGCTGCCGATGAGCTTTATCAACGGCGTCCATCGTCGGGCCCAGCCTCCGACTTCTTAGGAGTTTGGGAAAAATGCCAGTTTTCCCTATTTTCCCAACCGTCAAAGGTACTACCTTCGTCCCCCAAACATAAGGCATTTGTGTTGTAAATGACTACAACGCATAGGCTGCGTTCTATTCGAATAGAACTCGAACATGTTCTATTCGAATAGAACTCGTAGGTGTTCTGTTTGAATATCCCATATTTTCGAATATAATGCCTATGCGTTCTATTCGAGTTTTTTTTTCAAATTTTGGGAACTCGAATACAACACATGCGTTATGTTCGGGGGAAGAAGGTAGTGGTTTAAGAAATGGTCCGAGTTCACGTCATACTCGGACGCACCGCATGGACTGCTCCAATGCAATAACGTCACACAAGATGTTTTGTACACTTGTATATACAATTGAGCATTGTCATGGCTCTCTTTTTTCCTTCTACCTTATGAAGACTGTACAGCTGTGATCTTGAGCGACCTTATCAGTAATCTGCTGAAGATTGTATGATGACGTCATCCATTGTTTCCCTTTGTCATAAGTGTATTTGCTTATGCAACTGAACAACCAAGGTACTTCCTCCAATCTTTATCCACTTTCCTTGGCCACATCTCTATGGAATCCTCTCAGAAATGTCCATGCAGTCATGTTATTGCAAAGTGTGTATGAGCTGTGAAGAGAGAAGTGACTCTAATGTGGAGAGTCAGCAGTGTCGGAACCCTCTCTGGGCTGGCATAACTCTAGGAGTAGGCTTGCTCCTGCCTCCCGATCTTCGTGTCTATGTGGAAGTGGTTTGATTGTACATCTCTTAGATCGTATTTGTCACCATGGATAGCTGAGGTTGAGAGACTAGCTGACATTACTCTCACCTTTAGGTAACTACAGATGATCATGCATTCATCAATTCACAACATTTGGTTGAACATTGGATCGTGATCGCAGCACATGGATGCGAGTTCTCGTTTTCCTGTTTCGTCGTTTATTCATTCTTTGAGCCAGCTGTCGAATTGGTCTTCATATGGCTCGATAAAGCAGCTGTTCCTCCGTCCTTCTTTGAAGATTGAATCTGTCTGTACAGGTGCTGCACTTGGCTGTTTGCGTTGCTTTTGACTCATCCTCTCTTTCTGCCACTTTTCCATCTCCCTTTCTCTTCTCTCTCTCTCTCTCTCTCTCTCTCTCTCTCTCTCTCTCTCTCT